CTGCTGCAGACAAAGCTATGGAAGATTAAAAGCTAAAAAAGCAAAACACAGGCACTTTTTGCCATTGATAAATCAAGATTTTGCACTTTTATCTCAAACTTTTGAGAGACTAACTGAAAATTCTGAGAAAATACTGCTTAAAAGCTCAAATTTAAAGACACACACACACACTCTACTGCTGCACTTTGGGTTCGACTCGGGTACCGGCCGGGTGCACAGTAATAATTTGATTCGGACCAGCTGGCCCAACAATCCGGAGACTTTCCTGGGTGCCGCCATGACTGTCATAGTGATATAATATCATCCAGTCAGCTGTGATGCATAGCATGCTGGGAAAATTCCCCACAGATGAATCTGGGTGAGCGTAGTGGCAGTGGAGGTGGTGCTCTTTAGAAAACAGCTGGAGACCTGTTGTGGCACTTGGAGTCAAAGAGGACGCAACCTGTGACACCAACCAGTGCCCTAATGTTTTGTCGACGCCCCCACCTGAGCTCCCTTCTCCTCACCGAATGAAAACTTTATCCCAAATTTCTTCCTAAACTGCTCTACATGGATAGTTATTCCCACCTTTAAGTAATTTTGTCAAACTGCCTGAACTACAAAGTTCAGCGCTACTTTAGTTTAAAAAACAGGCTAAATACTGATCATTGGTTCAGTTTTTTTCCATAGTGGTACCATACCAACTCTATTTAAGCCGAAGAAAAGATTTATTCATCACTTTTATTCATCACAGTTATTCTAGCATTTATTCAATTTAAAACATCAGCTACTCACTCTGTGATTTGAAAGTTTGTTGGTTTTCTGAACTGTCTGCTTGTACGTGGTTACTTTAAAGACCTCAGTCACCATTTTCTTGTGAATGCTTGAGGCTCAGGTTTCAAAAGCCTTATTGCAGGATCTGGGCTATGATTGAAAATGCTGTTTTCAGGTTTTGAGGCTCTGGACTTGAAAAAACAAAAGATTTGACTCTAAATTGCATTTGGAGTTAGGAAGCAGACTGACAACCAATTTAGTCAAAAGGAAAAGATACAGCAAAATACTGTGATTACACAATTGGCAATGAGGATGAGGAAAAGCATTTTAATTTCCATGAAACTGCTTAAAAAATGCAATGTTAATAGAACTGTTACCTAATGATAACCTAATAATGTGGTTATTCATAATAATAATAACAAGAAGAAGAACTAGAATAATTGCTTCATGTGCACCTCCATCAAGTAGTCATGTCCAGAACTTTAGGATCTAAAATATAATTTTTCATTCTTTTCTACATTTGTGCTTCTTATCAGCAAATCAGCCCTTACCTTTTGGCCTTCATCATGGTCGTCTTCATCTTTGGCTTTTGGCCATGAAATTCTAATCAGTTCACCCTCCGGTCTAAAGAGTAAATTTAAAATGTTTACATCGGACTGAAGACAAACATACTCTGATTTTTATTTTCATATTTTTAAAAAATGAAATTTAGAGTTGTTATAAGAAATAATGGAGAAATAATACAAAAATTATTTTAAGAGTGTTTTCATATTTATTTATAGTTTCCTTCCTTCTATTGAATTTTAAAGAATAATGAAAATGGTATCAACAATAAATAAATCACAGTAATTAAAAGACGAAATTCAAAATATACTAAAGATTTAGAGACACTAAATGTTTTAAAATGTGTTTTTCTTTTGCTAAAATGTTACAAAAAACAAAAATAAAACCAGAATGTGAGATTTTTAAATGAAGTATTTAAATGTTAAAGTAATTTATATAGATAAACTAATTTTGTTTAGTCATCTTTTATCTTACAAATTAATGCCTAATAATAAGTCCACTAATTTTAGCTCTCTAAAATTAGTAATTTGATTCCAAACTTACCAAACCTCAAAGTTGCCCTGCTTGGCTTGAACACTTGTCCTCCCTCCCAGGACTCCCAGCATGCCTTGCTGCTATGGGTGGGGCTCATGGGAGGATGAATCTATATTTAGCTGCCCCTGGACCTCCTCTTCGTCACTCTTAATACCCCTCAAACTCCCTCTGTGTGTGCTCCGGGTGTATTTTGGGGAGGTTGAAACTCAACACCAATATGCAGTGGACAGTAATGACACACATTTGTACATCTGTCTTTGCGAGGACGTTATGCTGCCGTGATTATGAGCCAAAACCTAAGACTGTGTCCTGAAACAGGTCTTTGGAGGTTTGTCCCACTATGAGGACTGACCAAAGTGTCCTGATGTAGTTGGAGATTTGCACAGGTCCTCGAAAAGATAGATAAACCAGCACAGTCACAAACCATTACAGAGCAAAACTCGGGTTTGATTCATGATTTTTTTCTCTACTGACCTGAATGGACCATGACTTTTACGCTTTTCTTCAGCGTGCATGTTTTAGATGAAGAACAAGTTTTTCCTGATGTGTGATGATGATATTCTTGGAGAGTTATAAACAGACTAGTGGGGAAGTCCCCTCTGAGTGTTGATGTTGGTTTGTGTATCCGTCAGAGGATTAGGGCGGCAGGTGGCGGAGGTGTAGGTGTTGTGGATGCTCGTCCATGTGCTTGCAGTCAGTCATCTGATCAGATTAGCTGCTGACCTTCAACTAACAACAGAAGAAAAAAACTGAAGCCAAAAGATGTCACTTATACTTATCATTACTAAGAATATCAGTAAATAAATTGTTTAAATTACCTTTTGAACAAAATAAGAAACTATAAAATGAAAGCACTTGTAGAAACAAATTCAGAAAGTAAGGGAAACATTTAAAAACTATCTAGAAAATATAACTGAACAATAGTAGAAACTGTTTAGAAAAGATCAAACAACCCAAAACATACAAAAATCCAGAAATTCAATTATTATTAATATTAAAATTAATAAAAAAAACATTTTAATTTTATTAAAATCATTAGAAAATAAAACTAAAAATATATTTATATGAAACATAAAACAATACATAAATAAAAAGTAGCAAACATCATATAGAAAGAAAATTGAAAAACATTGTCATTTCAAAAAACTGTCGGGTCACAGGACACAGAGGCTTTGACCTTTGACCTCACACCTGCTGACTCTGCCCTAATTTTAAAAGATGCCATAGATGAAGTGAATTCTCTTCTAAAGATGTCTCACACACAGCACTCAGATGTATTGTGATACAGCTGGTTCATGACTTATAGAAGGACTGGAACATGAATCTGTTCTCACTGTTTTGTTGCCATCAGTTTGCTTCCATCTGTGTTCAATTTCAGCTTTTTGTTTCTTTTGTCTGGGTTTTTTTTCACTGCTTTGCATTTACATTTAGTTGTTGTTGTTTTTTATTATTTTTCATTGGTTTGTGTCATTTGCAGTTTATTTTTAGTCCATTTATTTCTCTGTCTGTGCTCAGCTTGAATCTCTCTTGGGTTATTATGTGTCTCTTTCCTGTCATTTAGTTTCTGTTTGCTGTAGTTTTTGAATCTGTGTCTATTTTTTCATATTTTTAGTTGTTTTGTAAAAAGTTTTCTTCACTTTGCGCTTGTTTAGTATTTTGATGTGCATCTCTTTTTGTTGTTTTGCATCCTTTGTGAATTTTTCTGGACATTTTTCTTTTCTTTCTGGTTATTATCTTTCGCTTCATTTTTGCACCTCTTGTCTTGCTTTGGGTGTTTTTCGTATTTTGGCATGCTGTTTGGCAGATTTTTCATGAGCACAAACACACATACTCAAGTCTACTGGTCAACCTCAAATGCATCTTCCTTACAAATGTGGCACCATCTAAACAGGCCATGAAGCAATGTTACAACAAATAAATAATCGACCAAACAGTAATGTCCGTAATTTTTACATGTGGTCCCTTTTGTGTCTCTGCTTCTGCTTTTGCACCTGTCTTTAAAATTTTCTCTGTCCTTTTTGGTCATTTTTCATTTTTATTCTGGTTACTAAACATTTTTTTCTTTACAGTTATTTAGTTTGTACTTTAGTTTTCTTGGTTATTTTCTGTTTGTTTTTTTCAGTTTCAAATGTGGTCATGTTTTGTGTCCATGAAAAAAAAATCATATCTTCTTTTTTGGGTTATTTTGCATTTCATCTAAACAGGAACTATTTGGCTTAATTTTTCTTCATGTTTGTTTGTGGGTGTTTTTGCCTCTTTCTATTTATGTTAAATGTATAGTTTTGCACTTTTTTGTATCGTATTGTGATGCATTTGCATCTCTTCCAGGTTGTTTTGTGCTCATTTTATACGTGTTTATGTGTATTTTGGGGGTTTTTTGGTGTGCAACTTCCAGAGGGTGCATTAGGGAATCCTGTACTACCCAATTCTTACCTGGGTACATTGCCATGGTAACTAATGGTGTGCATACCTAATCTTCTTGGAGCGGGTTGTAATGAGCATGACATCACTGCGTACTGTGCAATCAAGTCCCAGGTGTAATATTACCTGGAGAATATTTTGGATCTCTTTACTATTAACTGTGAGGGTCTAAAGTTTTTTTTTTTTTCAATAGCATCTAATGTCTTTGTGTTTCCCTGATGAGCATCAGTAACAAAGGTAAAATCATTCATTTGTACTTGTGGACTTTCTTTCAAATTTGCACATTGAGCCTATATTTGAAAACTGTTGTATTCTTTACCATTAAACACCACAAAGGCTGCAACTGAATGAATTTATGGGTATATGGTATGTTGAACCTACTATTTAGTAAACTGCTTTCCAACTTGAAATTTAAAGAGATTCACTGGCACACAGGTCCCCTTAAGTCCTTGGGCTCCATGGATTTGCTGTGTAAACCTGTTTTAGTCCTTCAGGACTAAATACCCTAATCCTAATTCTGAGTTCAAGCTGAAATTTAAAAACAAGTTTTAACTCAGATGTCTTCGCTGAAGCTGACACACAAAGCTGGTGTTAACCACAGACGTCAACTGGCTATGACAGTGGCCTGAAAATAGACCGCTACATACCTCCACTTATAGATCTAAAATAGCCACAGAAATAAAATGTGTGACTAGATCAATCACCGTGTCCTCTTGTGTTCTCTGCAGGTCTTGCAGAAGCTTGGCAAAGCAGATGAGACCCGAGATGTTGTCTTTGAGGAGATGGTGGCCAACTTCAACAAGCAGATGGTTTGGAGACATTTTTAAGTTCTGCACCTCTGATGCTGCTGATGCCCATAAACTGCACTTGTTAATGTCGTAACATATTTTATCATAGTGCTTTATTTTAGTTTATCCTCTAATTAGCATTTATAAATAAATCTGCTTAGTAGTATTTTAATTAGATTAATAATAGTTGTTGCAACTCTTGTAATTTTCCAGTTAATATTAGTGCTAGGCAGCATAGAAGAAACATAACATATTAAACTAAAGTTAAACCAAAGGTCATACGCTTTTTAGCATCCCTAGCACCTCAACAGTGACTTCCTGTGGGATTTACCCTTCACAATAAAGTAACATTAAAGGAACGCATTGTACTTTCTGTTTCAGTGGGTTTTTTTGTGGGTTTTTTTTTGCTTGAATTTTATAATTGCTTTTACTAATTGTAGTTTTCATTTTTATTTCCATTCAATTTTTGTTTTAAACATTGTTGTTGTTGCTCACTGTGCTTCCTGTTTCAGGGAGAAGGCACCAAACTGCAGAAGGACCTGAAAGCGTACCTGGCAGCAGTGAAAAGTAAGTTGGCAAAAAGGCTACAAGCTGTGCTTTAACATGTATCATAGCGAAGCAGCTAGTTTGTTTGATGCTGAACTCTCCAGTCGGTTCATATCACTTTTTAAGTCAATTGTAACCAAAACATGCTGCACACAGACACATTTATTATGGTTTCTTGAAGCTTTCATATAGTCTGTCTTTACAAACATTTGTGAAAGAATGGGTCGTTCTAAAGAGTCCACTGAATTTGAGCCTGGCTGCAACAGCATGTCACCATTACAACAACTCAGTTTGTAGATACTCCACAATCAACTGTGAGTGCGGTTACTGCAAACCGGAAGTGTGTAGGAACAACAGAACTCAGCCACAAGGAGACGGTATTTAATTGACTAGTGGACTAGTTGTGCACGTTTCTACTACAAAGAGATGTTAAGTGACCAAAAAATATGGATCAAAGTGATAATAAAGACACAAAAAACAGACTCAACACGAGAACACTGCAAAACAACAAGAGACAAGCAATACTATGAGAAACGAAACAAAATGTAAAATTACAATCAAGAGCGTAAATTATTTTTTTCTGGTCATCTTGTGTGTAATTATGTGTGTTTTTTCTCTTTGTATTTCAGCCATGCATGACGCGTCGCGGCGGTTGCAGGACTGTCTGGCGGACATGTACGAACCGGACTGGTTTGGCAAAGAGGAGATGGACGCGTTGGCTGAGGTGAGACAGGAAATAAAAACATCTCACCCGAGCTGCTCTCTTCTCTGTAACAGCATCCGTTCATTAGCTAAATGATATAGCTGTTTGATTATAACAAAAATATCATAAAAACTTCAGTCTATGGAGGGCCATAACCACCAAAATAACACAAATAAACAATAAAGATGCTATTCCACCAAATATGAAAAAGAAATATAAAACACTTGTGTTTCTGTTTATCTATTTATTTACTTATTTATGTGTTCAATAATTTTTAAAAGGTGGCTGTGGTCCTCCATACATTACTGTATTTCTCTTGTGTGACTCTTTCTTCGATTTCTTTTTCTTCTTTTTCTTCCCGCTAACATACTTAATTTCTTTTTCTTAACTGCATGGCTCTCTCCTTCCACCCTGAAGGAGTTGATAGAGAAGGAGATGGACATTAACCTGGAGGTAAAATATAGAAAACTTTGAGTGTGTCCCACAGATCTCATCAGGACAGATTGTTTTAAGAATCAAAACAGAGAGAAAATGTCTTTACTTCTACCAAAAAGCTCAGACTGGTGAGCATTCTTGAATTTTTAAACATATGACCGATGGAAAGTAAAAGCTTAAAACTAATTCTGGTGATCATTGTGAAGTAGGGGCTTTTAGTTTGGTTTTAGTGTAGACTCTTTAACAGATTTTACTGTAGCGACATATCCAGAAACAACCTAGAATAGCTGTCTTAAAAGCATTTAGGATCACTTTATTCTGGTCGGTAGCAGATATTTAAAAGTATGCAAATCATCAGAACGACTGAAAAACAACGGCCAATAACCATTTTAACAGGCAAAACAACAACAACTAAACACTGTGTAAAAACTGTGAGCAGCACTCTAAACTGTAGCTGTTCAATGAACAGGATTTCAAGGAAGTACAGGAAACATTCAGGAAAAGCTGGGAGTTGATATGGATTTCCAGTTTACTTTAGTTTTACAAGCCGAGAAAGCTGGAAGCTCATGGGTCCAGGTGAGCCTTTCAAAGTAAATGAGCAGTGACCTACTTAAATGCAAATGCAAGGCAGTTCACAGGTTGTTAACCTCTGGAAATCAGATCAATTTTACACTTGTTTACAGGTTAAAAAATGGTCTTTTCATGCAATAAATAGACACCGAACACACCAAATTAAGTGCCAACCTTTGGAGCGGCAGTACTTCCGATTAGACTAGAGACTGGCTCCAAAGTGAGTCAGTCCCCAGAGCATGTTAAAATGTGCACCTTCACAGCAGAAATAAGCATGTTTGCAGCCCTCTACCAATGGCATTTTGGTCTTTGTCTTAATATTAATTTAAAAAAGGCCACAGTTACAGTTACTATTACACCACTATAAAAGAAAATAAGTAGGTCCCCCTGAATCATCTACAAATTAAAATGTCAGAAAAAATAGAAGAATAAGTGCCGTGGAGGATGTAAGAGTGAGTAAAAAAGAAAAGAAAAGGTAGATGTTTATGTAATTGTGTTATGTGTTTCAGGATACAGACACAATGTGGTTGGATTACCACCAGAGCATCACGGACAAATCTCTGCAGGACATGGACATGTACCTCTCTCAGTTTCCTGACATCAAGGTGAGCATGTTTCTGAAAATTAACCACAGGACAAAAACAACTGCTCATGTTGGCTTTTCTAAATAAAAGGTGTTTGTCATACTGTGTTTGAATAAAACGCAGGGTTTGAAAGATGTAATCAAACACCCACTAAACTTGCAAGTGGATAATAAAAATCTGTTTAGTGTGTAGACGCACTGGGATTTAATTTGAAAATCCGCTTTTCTTGAAACTTTAAAAAACTGATAATTTGCTCCTATATTAAAGACATCTCTTACACATGTAAACACTACTTGATGTTGCATGGTGTGCAGTGTGTCCTTAAAAAAATTGAGGAAACTGGACAAGTCGAGGACAAAAGAACAAGTCTCAGATCTAAAAAGTGTCTCTGTCCTGTCCGTAAGTTCACTGTTCACTGAAGCCTCATCAGAAATGGTCTCAGTGGAAGGTTGGCTGTCAAGAAGCCATTTTTAATGAAGGCAAACAGGGAGAAAAGGCTGAGGTATGAAAATTACACAAGAGCTGGACTGGACTGAAAATCAGTGGAAACCGATCTGGTGGAGTGATTAATCCAAAGCATTGTCAGTATGTTTGGAGAAGATCAGCAGAGAGGTACAACAGTGCGTGTCTACAGCCATCTGTAAAACACGGTGGAGGCTCTGTCATGGTTTGAGCTGCATTTCAGTCAGTGGTGTTGGAGATCTTGTTAAAATTGATGAGTTAAGAACTCAGAAATGTACCATCAGATTTTAATCCACCATGCAAAACCATCTGAAAGCATTTGATTGGCAACAGCTTCATTTTCAGCATGATAGTGATATAGTAGTAGTAAAATCATATCTGGAAATAAAACCACACAGTGGCGCACTATCAGTCATGGATTGGCCTCGACAGAGCACGGACCTCAACATTATTGAAGCAGTGTGGGATCATGTTGACAGAGAACAGAACAAATGTTGACATAGAATTGTACAAACTCTGTTTTTGCCCTATATGCTGTATTTACATGTATGTTTGCATGTTTCAATAAACATGTCTCTATTTCCTCACAAAATATAAATAAAATAAGGGCTGAGTTGATACTTTTGCACAGTATTGTATGACATTACACCCTTTAAACATATTTAAAGCTGTGTTCTCCTGCAGGCTCGTATAGCAAAGCGCGACAGGAAGTTGGTGGACTTTGACAGCGCCCGCCACCACTTCACCTCCTTGCAGAAAGGCAAAAAGAAGGATGAGGCCAAGATCGCCAAGGTAACCGTCACTGAGAGTGTGTGCACGTTTGTGTGTGTTTGAGCATGTTTAATGGAACAGTTCAGAGTCTTTGGCTGAAGGTGGACTGACTTTTTTATGTTATATGTAATGGCATCATCAATGTGTGAAGGCAAAAAAGAAATATGTATTTCAGCTGGTAAAACAAAACATAAAATTTCATTTGACCTAATCATATTTTACTGATGTGCTAATCAGCAAAAGTTCCTCTACATACTGCAGGAGCACAGCATTCACAGAGGGTTAAAAAAACACTGGTCTTTACACCACCTCGAGTCAAAGGATCAAAATGACTGTTTAACTAAATAGCGTTTGTTAAACTCGTGGAACCTCTCGCTAACTAAATCCTAATTAACATGTTTGCATTTGTCTTGAATTCTGGTTTGCTTTCTTCTCCTCCCTCCCTCTCTCTCTCTCTGTCTCTCTCTCTTGCATGGTGTGTGTGGTTAGCCAGCAGCCCTGTTGGAGATGGCGGCTCCCAGCTGGGCTCAGGGTTTGATATCAGCTCACCAGGTGGCTCAGACTAACCTCTCCTACAACCAGGTGAAACTCTGGTTCATCACTGACAACCCCCTCCTCACCTTGAAAACTGTAACCCAGGTCCTTTGACATGATCAGCATTGTGAAGCGTGGAGTTATTTCACAGCAACTTGTGACAGACAAGTCGTCAGCCAGTGAGTCAGCTGGGATTCTCCCAGCATCAGATCGATGCTGCCACATCTGTCGGATACTGCCGGAGTACAAGAAAAGCAGAGGCCTCTGAGAAAAGTAAACAAAGTCGCAGAACTTGTTACTGTTGCTGCATTTCTCGTCCTCTTAGCACAGTATTG